ATTTAACTTGACTCGAATTTGATTTGACTCGCAAATCATCGAGTCAAAAAAATATAAACTCAACTTGATTTAAACTCGACTTGGCTTATCTGACTTGTGAGTTAACTCAACTCATCTAAAACTCTATATACTCTGAATCTGATCAATCCAGATATCTGGTTATCCATCCAAAATTTGACTAGATTTGGATTGATCTATTTATATCATAGGATTAGAGCTCTGAATCAGGTCAGGTCGATCTATTTACCTGACCTGATCTGATCTAAAAATTCAGGTTAGCTCAGTAGGTTTTCAGGTTAATATCAGATCAGGTCACCAGGTCGAACTGATCTGACCTGACCTGACAAAATTCAGGTTAACCAATCATCATTCTTGAATGATATTTTATCGTTCAATTAGAATGATTCATTATCATTTGAGAACGATAGTTTTATCATTCAAAAATGATGATTTATCATTTGAGAATGATAGTTTTATCATTCAAGAATAATGATTTATTGTTCTTGAACGATGTTTTATCGTTCAATTAGAATGATTCGTTATCATTTAAAAATGATAGTTTTATCATTCAAGAATGATATTTTATTGTTCAATTAGAATGATTCATTATCATTTGTTTTATCATTCAAGAATGATGTTTTATCATTCAAGAATGATGTTTTATCATTCAAGAATGATGATTTATCATTCAAGAATGATGATTTATCATTCAAAAATGATATTTTATCATTAAAGAACGATGATTTATTATTCTTAAATGATATTTTATCATTCAATTAGAATGATAGATTTATCGTTCAAAAATGATAGTTTTATCGTTCAATTAGAATGATTCGTTATCGTTCAAGAATGATGATTTTATTATTAAAAAATGGTGATTTATCATTTAAGAATGATGATTTTATCGTTTAAAAATGATGGTTTTATCGTTCAAGAATGATGATTTTATTATTCAAGAATGATAATTTTATCATTCAAAAATGATGATTTTATCATTCAAGAACGATGATTTATCATTCAAGAACAATGGTTTTATTATTCAAAAATAATATTTTATAATTTGATTAGGTCAAGTCAGATAAGGTCAGATCAAATAAAATTTAAATCAGGTCAGATTTTTGTTTGACCTGACCTGATCCTTTCAGTTCAGGTAACTTGATTGACCTGATCTGAACTGACTTGTTCGAAGCTCTAAATTTTATTATTTTTATAAAATGTAATATCTTTAATTTTTTTTAAATAAATCAATATCTTTGTAATTTTTTTACTATACTTGTTTTTAATATACTTTTATTATTATTTTTTTATAAATACATTTACTTCAGTTAAATCTGATAGAAGTTAAATCAACATTTATATTCACTAAATTTGAGAACTTACAATCACTACGAGTATACATAATCATATTATATACATCTGCTTAAAAGCTGTAATTTAGTAATTATAATTCATTTTATTCAGATTTGACTCAGTAATCCACTCAATTAATATTCTATGTAAACTTAGTTATTAAAATTAGATAAAGGACTTACTTCAGCATAGTGATTAATAGTCACTATCTTTACAAATCTAATTTATAGAAGTTTACCTAACTGATAACTATTGAGACTGTGAGATCAGATTCTTTACATAAATAGTGATTTAGTACTTATAGCGTTAAAGTCACTCAAGAATCGAACCTGATCTCTAACCTTTATAATAATATGATTTGGCTCAGAACTGCAATGTGCAATGCAGTCTATTATATCTGAAACATTCTAAATCCACTAATTACTAGTTTACTAGTTAATCACTTTCTTACTTGTATAAGAGCCTCTGAGTTTAAAGACATGAGGTAGTATCTATTACAGACCTATCAGCGAAGTCTAAATTTCTGTTGATCCTTAACTTCATTTGTAATTATATATTCTTCAAGACCTAGTATTTTAACATATACTGTATTAGTCTATATGCTCACATGTTCAGTTACTATAAAATTCTTAATTTGTGGCTAATATTTATTTATTTATTTTTCTTGATTTTCTTTTTTTTCTTTAAAGATATTATTTTCTTATTTTCAGTTTATTTTATTTTATTTTTTAGGATTTTTGATTACATTCAGGCTGCTACTTAATGTAAGTTTTACTTTTCTTTCTTTTTTTTCGAATTTTTTTTTACTTTCTATTTTTAAAGTTATAACATAAGTTTTTTTTATATCATTTTATAATTTTTTCATTGTTGAATCAATTGAATTTAAGTTTCATTTTTAATTTTATTTTTTTGTTATTTTTTTTTTATTTCTCTTTACTTTTTTTAATTTCGATTTTATTTTCATTCAGATTTTTCGGCAATTAAGTTAGTGAATTTTTTTTTCACTTACTTTCTTTTCATCTTTTTTTTCAGGTTATTTATTTTTTTAAACTTCAGACTGAAGTGATCAACTTGAAAAAGCAAATACATAATTTGTATAAAATTCAGATTCTATCTAAATTCAATTTGGCCTCCTTGTATCTGAAATTAGAATTTAACTGAAATTAAAATAGCCACACAGAAATTGACCAATATGCTAAATACTGAAATTGGAATTCAGATAACATTTTAATTTCGAATCTCAATTTCGTCACAACAAATAAATGGTATTGAAATATTTACATAAATAAAAGTCGCTATACCTTTTGATTTATTTTTATGTCTTTATATCGAACGAACGAAACTTAATTCGATTTCATAAACAAAAACTTTTACCCACATAATTTCTAGTTAATTATTTAAATGATTGTTAAATAGTTTACCGCTGGAAATGATTGCGCCTCACGAAATTCTTACCGACATAAAAAATCACGTTACGGATCATATGACTTACTTTGTCTCGACTAAATTTTAATAACGACCCATAGATAGATGACTCGTTTCTATTGTAAAGTTAAAGTATATATTTTATAATTGCCATTATTTAATTTATAATTGCATTTTAAATAATAATAAAAAGTTTATACGATTGTCAATTCGTCATTTAAAAGATCAAATCGATGATACCAATGAATTGGTCAATATTTAGAAAGTGGTTAATGAGTTTCTTCTCCACAATTTTCGTTTTTAGCAATCTCCAACGTTAATCATTCTTATGAAAATCGTACGATTATTGTAGTTATTCCAATTTTCCTGCAAAAATTTCCATACAAAATACTTTTTTTTTTTGAATTTATGGGATAATGCAAATGAAATAAAATTTATTATCAAACTTTTCTGACGTTCTAATAAAGCTCGCAAAGCAGACAAAAATTCTAGTAAATAAATGTGTTGAACCTTATTGGCTGGTTAATTTTCTTACATTATATGAAAATTATATTGAATTTATAAGAAAAATATGAATGAATATACAAGCTATAACTACATTATACTGAAATATTAGTATCCATTTTTGAAACATAAATTGTGCAAAAGTTTATGGATATAGAACATTATTTATTGGGACACCTTCACGATATCAGAAAACGAAATAATTTTAAAGGTATTTAGAGGTTGGAACCGCCAAAAAACCTTAACTGATTAATAACCGGTTAAAGAAAATCTTTAACCGCTCAAACTTTTAATGGTAATTTGATATAAGATTGTTTTATTTATGTATGTATATTGAACGATAATATTCAAGGTCATTAACAATTCCTCTGAGATTCTTCTCAGTTAAATTATAGAAGAGTTATAGTTATTATCAAAATATAGATTTTTAGCATATAATTGATAAATTGAGGAGGCATTAAATATTGCTTTTTATTGTATAAATCTTCTATGTATATATTAATTTGTTCGTTAAAAATTTTCTTTCCAGAAATTCGTCTAAAAATAAAATTTGTTAAATTTTATTAATCTTATAACACAAAAAAGGTAAACTAATTTACCTTTTTTGTTAACTTATTATTAATGTGTGAGCGTATTCAAATTTTTTTTTTTTAAAAAAAAAAAGCTTATATCACAAATATAGAGTTACATTTTAATTCGAGACTGCTCTACGTACTTGTTTATACCTAATCATTACGCGGTTCTTTTTCTAACAATGTATCGAATTGATCGTAATTTTTCAATATTTATAAAAATTTTTTATTTTTTCTTGAAAAAAGTATATCCTTTCATTTATAAACGAAAAACTATTTTGTTATAAACAATTATTGTATTTAAAAACATAAAAAGTTCCATATAACCCTTTTTTTACCTGTAGAGCACACACAAAAACCTTTTAAATTGTATAATATATAGAATCAATTTTTACCGAAGGAATCTAAAAAAAAGTCAATTACTCAACAAACATTAGCCCAGGAATAACTTACTAGAAATTCAACATTATAAGGATTAAATTGAGTTACTAGCTTTGTAATTGACCATCACTGAGAAATTTAAACCACAATAATTAAATTTCCATTTCTCATTATGTCTGTATGGCGTTAGAAACAGAAAGTTTAATTTATATGCCAGTTATTCTCTCCATGCATTGATATTAATATATTTGAACCCAAATAAACCATCTTTTTATAAAAAGACCGATCCTGTCGATCGTCCAAAAAAAGATATAGTATAAGACCGGTTCTATGAACTAATGGTTTTTCGGTCTAGATCGGATCGTTTCATAACAAAGTCCAACTAAAATACAAAAACAATTATCTAAACATCTTGCAATCGTTTTAACGGTCTTTGTTAAAAAAAAAATGAAATTTTTGAGAGCAATGTATAAACTTATATAAATATTGGAATGGCGCAGCTGTTGGAATGATTTCTCATATATGGTTAGAACTGATTGATTTAGTGAAATAAAAAAAAAAATTATATAATGAAAATCATATAAAAAAAACTTTTTAATTTCTCTTCAATATTTTACGACATTGTAAAATCACTTCATTCGTGCATTTTAGCAAATTTTATGTCGGGTTGCAATTCCCATACTTTGGTTGATCCTTTTTCCGTTATTTGTTCAAGAGGTTATTCTTATAACCTTCTTAATACTTATTTGCTATTCTTAAGACAAGATGATAAAGAAAAATTAAAGGAACTTGGAATTATAATTCATTCACCCACATTTAAAAAACGTTTATTTAATTATCCAGACTTATTAAAGTATTGAATCTAACATGAGTCGAAGTACATATATTCAGTTGGGTAAATAATCGTTTTATTCCTAGACCTTTTCGAGGAATCAAATCAAAGAAAATAACTTTTCTTGAAAAATATAAGGAAGTACATATAAAAAAAACCCGCTGTATCTGAAAAAGTGATAGAATTTCTTTGTATTTCATATGTTAAGATATTCATAGATCAGAAAGTTAACTATGGGAACAAATTATAGTTTCAGTCATTTATTACCTATATCCAAAATAATTTTGGATCATCCAGAGTTGATATCTGACCTTAAAAAGCCTACGTTAAATTCATCTTTTGATGATTATTCCAACCCTATTTAACTTCCTTACCATTATCATCTACAATCAAACACCTCAAAATTAATATTAGTTCATCTAGACAAAGTTAACAAATTTGATACATTCACAATCCCAACTTTTATCTCTGAAGGTTTACAAAACACCAATTGCTAATGAAAATTTGCCCAATTCGTTAATTTCAATCAAGTTTGAAACTTGTAATTTTGCAACTATCATATCATTTGATGGTTTTAAATCCCTTAAACAACTTAGATCACTTCAATTTATTAATTGTATAGGATTAACAATTCAAAATTTTCAGCCACTTCTTTATAATCCTTCTCCATTAAAGTTAAGATCTTTAAAAGGTGTTGGGTTGTTCCCAGGAATTGCCATATTAATTCAATTGGTCGGTCCTTGTTACGAACATAGTAAATCATATGATCTGTAACGTGATTTTAATAGCTTACCTCCCATATAAATTATGTTACTGTTGAAAATATCAAAAATAAATCAACTGAAAATCCATTTATTTGGGAGGGAATCAACAACAACTATAACAAAGTCTATAGGAGAGGAAAGAGCTTAAAATGCTTACCCAAGTGTTGTCATTGGAACAGTCCTCGTTCATGTTCAAAAAATCAATGTCCGGGATATTTAAACAATAGAAATTAATCTGATAATTTAATATGAAGAACAGGGCAACTTCCGTTCTGTAATCAAATTTTACATCTTCTGATACATCAGGAGCACAAAAGCAGAATTTTTAACTTTTGCAGATTTCAAGTTCATAAATATCTTAGGTAAATGACAAATTAGAAATCCCTCGCGTGTAAATTCTTTGGAGATATGATCACAAATTTTAGAAGAAATGAAAAAGAAGTTGAAATTTAAAAAGTTCTCGCTAATATTCAAGACAAGATATTCTGAACTACATTAATTATGGAATGTTATTTGTACTATCCTTGTTGGTACTGCATTGATTAACTATAATGAACAACAAAAAAATTAGAGATAAGGTTCATTTAAGTAGAAATGATTTTACTTGTTATAGTACCGATGACATAAACCTAATCAACTTTAAGATGGCAAATCAGCTAACTTGATGTAAAGAAAACGAAGGATGTATTCTGTATTGTTTTGTAAGAATAAATATGCATTCCCAAATCACGTAAAATGAAAATGTGAATAATTAGAATTAACGTATTTATAATCAACAATTCATTTTGTCATAATTTATATATATAAATTTTAGTAGTAGCAAGTAAAAAGAGTCACACCAGGAGCAGCTACAATTCTTCTTGAATATTTGTAATCAGGTCCCGTATAATTGTTTTAACGAAAAAAAAAATATTGGAATTCACAGCTTCGCGAACATCCTCTTCTCAAGTTCTCGAAATTTTGGCCTTTTTAAATCTCGGTTGTTATTCATGGCGATATTGATTTTATTGCTTCTAAATTAAGCCTTACTTATAGTAGTTTCTTTTTTAAAAAAACTTGAAAAAGTCTTGAGAGAAGCACAAGAAATACTTTTTTTTCTTTTATCCATGATTAAAGTGAGAAAGAAGGAGATAATATAAAAAAGGAGAATAGGAAAAAATAATTGTAAATCAAAAGCTTATTGTAATTTATTGTTGTATGGCAGAACCGTAATTTCATGGAGGCTTTTTGATATTTTTTTTTATAATACTGTGTAAATATATATAAGGTAAAAATTTTTTTGAAGGCTTTACCATTAAAGTATAAATGTTCGGTGAATAGTTGCATTATGTAGCAAATTCTTTGACTATTTTATTTTACAAAATTGATTAGATTTCGTATCTGTAAAAAAAAAAATCACTAATTTAAAGTCATTACATAGTATATGTATAATTTTTGAATTGTTATCGTTTTTATTCATATAAAAAATAAATATTTTCTATTTGGATTCGAATTCTAGGTAATTAATTAGGATGCTATTAAATCAAAATATTTTTAATTTGTTGCCTAAAAAAAAATTTAATTAAAGTAAATAAATATGTCAAAACTAACAGTTAATTTCAAATCACGGTTTTTGATATTTTATTTAAAAAGAAAAATTTTACTGCAGGCAAATTCCTTGAATAATTCGGCAAGTTTTATGAGGTTCGGATGACTCATTATTTGCTTATTTTTAGGACAATTATATCATTCTAAGTTTGTATTAGATAGTTAAATATGGATATGATACAATTTTACACTTAAATGGGAGAATATCTCTTTTGAATAGACTTGAGAATAGATTTCCGAAAATCCTATAATTGAATAAAAATTCTATATTACCCTTTCAAATCTTTATCGTGTCACCATATATGATAACTGCATAAGAAAATCGTGCAAATAAATAATTGTCATTAAAATCTTTCTTAGGACGGACCTTAGTTAGATTTAGGATCTTGCTTGTTATTTGGTTTCGGTTTCAATTTCCATAAAATGACGAAATCTTTAATTCCAGTCAGAATTAAAAATTTTGGCCAAAATCGAAATCGGATAAATCGAATTTTAAGTGATAATAAGCTTCCAGAAAATTAAACTAAAAAAGCTTAATAGTTTCCTCAATTCAGAACTTCAGTTGCAACAAAAGATCCAAAAGGAGTTGATAATTTTGGAATCGAATCAAGTTACGATTTGCGATTATAATTATCGAATTATTATATTCGATAACCCGACCGACGCCATTATTCCTCTATGCGGTATATCGATCATGCATCATCATTTATTTCTTATAAATTAAATAGGAGTTTATTAGTTTTAAGGAGCATATTTTGTTAATAAAGTTCAATATGTATGTTGAACTTTAAAATTTTACTCCAAAAGATCACTCGGTTGTATTGTATTTTAACTAGTTTTTAAATAAAATTTGAAAGCAACCAAAAAAATTATTTCCGATTCAAATTATCACCATTGGTTATTTTTATTAGTTACCAACTAGATTAGGTTGGTGTTTGTCGCCGCTAGTTATGGTTATTATACTGCTTTAGTTGTAATAATATATCTTTATTAAGTTATCGCCGTGACGAGCCGAAGGGTCCATCCGAAATTCCGCGCCCGCATTCATCCGAAAGGGCGGAATCAGCCCTAACTATAAAATCGAAAAAAATATTAATTAACAATAAAATAGACAATATAACATACCTGACTGCGCCTATGCAATAAGCCAAAGTGGTAAA